TGCTATTTTTCTCCGGGCATGAGGAAGAACATGCTACACACACAACGAATTGCACTGATGCTATCCAAACCAGCACAAAAAGCACTGATAGGATGGGAATCTCATGGATCCAGGACCATCAAAACGAAAAAAGAGAGGGTTATAACGGAAATCATCCAATGCTTTCCATCTATCAACGATTACAATGACGACGTTAACGATCAATTCTACGGAAGGCTCAAGCCAATCGTTGACAGATGCTCACCAAAGGATTTGACCATTCTGATGGGAGACCTAAATGCCAAGGTTGGTATGGACAACACTGGATATGAATATATCATGGACTAAGAGAAAGGAATGAAAATGATGAGAGATTTGCAAACCTATGTGCCTTCAACAATATTCTCACACAAGCGCATACACAAAGCTACATGGATCTTACCGGATCACACTACTCAGAACCAAATCGACCATATCTGTATGAATAAAAAGTTCAGAAGGACCATGGAGGATGCGAGAACCAGAAGAGGAGCTGATATAGCCTCAGATCACCACTTGCTAGTCGCTAAAATAAAACAGAAACTAAAGAAGCAATGGACAATGAGGCAGAAGTTTAATACGGCCTTTCTTCTGGATACCGTAAAACTCAACGAATTCAAGATAGCCCTCACCAATAAGTTCCAGTCCTTAGAAGATCTACTCAATGGGGAGGAAACAACCACGGAGAACAACTGGAAAGGGATCAAAGAGGCAATCACTTCAACATGTCAGGAGGTCTTGGGTCACAAGAAGCACCATCACAAGGAATGGATCTCTGTTAATACTCTTGAAAAAATTGAGGAAACGAGGAACAAGAGGGGAGCAATTAATGTCAGCCGAACAAGAGCAGAGAGAGTTAAGGCACAAGCTGAATACACAGAAGCAAACAGGAAAGTGAAGAAGAGCATCAGAGCTGACAAACGAAAATATGTGGAAGATCTAGCAATGATGGCGGAAAAGGCTGTAAGAGACGGAAACTTGAGACAATTGTACGAAACAACAAAGAAGCTCGCCGGGAACTATCGTAAACCAGAAGGACCAGTGAAAAGCAAGGAAGGCAAAGTAATCAGCAACACTGAACAACAGCGAAATAAGTGGGTAGAGCACTTTCAAGAACTCCTGAATCGACCAGCTCCACTGAACACACCCAACATCGAAGCACCATCCACGGACCTCCCAATTAATATTGGCTCACCTACGATTGAGATCAGTATGGTCATCAGACAAATCAAGAGTGGCAAAGCAGCAGGACCAGACAACATTCCAGCAGAGGCAATGAAAGCAGATGTAGAAGCAACTGCGAAAATATTTTACATCCTCTTCAAGAAGATTTGGGATGAGGAACAAGTACCATCAGATTGGAAAGAAGGATACCTCATCAAAATACCAAAGAAAGGCGATCTCAGCAAGTGTGGGAACTACATAGGCATCACTCTTCTCTTAATACCAGGTAAAGTCTTCAACAGAGTATTGTTAAACAGAATGAAGGACTTCGTACACACCCAACTTCGAGACCAACAGGCTGGATTTCGTAAGGATCGATCGTGTACCGACCAAATTGCAACATTACGGATCATTGTGGAACAATCAATTGAATGGAACTCACTACTCTTCATCACCTTCATCGACTACGAGAAAGCATTCGGTAGCGTGGACAGGAAAACACTGTGGACTCTTCTTCGACACTACGATGTGCCTGAGAAAATAGTTAACATCATACGGAATTCCGTGTGATGGATTCAACTGCAAAATCGTGCACAGAGGTCAGCCGACAGACTCTTTCGAGGTGAAGACCGGTGTCAGGCAAGGTTGCTTACTCTCACCCTTTCTCTTTCTCCTGCTGGTCGACTGGATTATGAAGACGTCGACATCTGGAGGGAAGCACGGTATCCAATGGGCAGCTAGGACGCAGTTGGACGATCTGGACTTCGAAGATGATCTGGCTCTTCTATCGCACACACAACAACAGACGCAAGAGAAGACAACCAATGTAGCAACAACCTCAGCGGTAACAGGTCTCAACACACACAAAGGGAAAAGAAAGATTCTTCAATACAACACAACATGCACTAACCAAATCACAATTGATGGGGAAGCTCTGGAGAATGTAAAAACCTTCACATATCTGTGTAGTATCTTTGATGAGCTACGTGGATCTACTGCAGATGTGAAGGCGAGGATCGGCAACCTAAGGACAGCATTTCTTCAATCGAACAACATCTGGGACTGAAAACAACTATCAACAAACACCAAAGTCAGAATCTTCAATACAAATGTCAAGACAGTTGAACTGTACGGGGCGGAAACTTGGAAAACTACCAAAGCCATCATCCACAAGGTACAAGTGTTGATTAACAGTTTTCTACGCTAAATACTTCGAATACGTTGGTCAGACAATATCAGCAACAATCTACGGTGGGAGAACAAACCAGATTCCAGCGATGGAAAAAGTCAAGAAGAATCGCTGGAGGTGGTGAGGAAAGCACCCAACTGCGTCACAAGACAAGCCCTCACCTCGAAGCCCCTAGGCCAACAGAAAAGAGGAAGACTAAAAAAACACATTACGCCATGAAATGGTGACAGACATGAGAAGAATGATTAACAGTAGGACAGAACTAGAAAGGAAGACACAAGACAGAGTAGGTTGGAAAACGCTGGTCGGCGGCCTATGTTCCATTAGGTGTAACAGAAGTAAGTAAAAAATGGTCGTTTTAGCAGTCAGATTGACTGAGAGCTTAGGTAGAATCTGGGAATTGGATGTAATCCCATCCGACTGGTCTCAATCACTGATTTTCCCAGTTTTTAAAAAAGGACAAAAGTCCTCTTAAGACAATCACAGAGGAATCAGTCCAACTAATGTGGTGTCAAAAATGTTAGCCTCGACAATACTTCGACGCCCAACTAGTGCTCGTGAAGAGCAGACTCGAGGAAACCAGGCTGGTATCACGCCTTGACGTGGATGCATAGACCAGATATTCTCAGTACGTCAGGTCACAGAACATAGAGACATGTTCAGATGTCCCACAATAGTATTACTTCTCGACCTTAGGGCGGCATTCGACTCTATTGATCATGAGGCTCTACGGCAGTTTGTCGTTAAAAATAGTACCAGAGGTACAATGACCTTATACAAGCTCGCTACTCGAAAACTACTGGTCAAGTCAAAGCTTGTGGCTAACCGTCATTAGATTTATTTACTTCAAGCGGTGTTCGTTAGGGTTGTTCACTTTCTTCATTCTCGCCTACCTTTGTCGTTAACGTGCTTTTAGATACGACATTTTCATCGTATGACTTTTCAGGAGTTGGCCTACTACCAACAGACTGGCTTTTCGACTTAGAATATGCCGATGGCATAGCTCTACTTGGTGAAGACGCTGACAAAATACAGAGTCTTCTGACTACCGTAAGCAACAATGCAAGCATGTTCGGGATACGATGTGGGTTCGCTATGCATCAAGTCACATTTAGCAAAATGGAATATAAACCAAGAACCTACAGGATAATCGCTAGACATCTAAAATAATAAGCTTACATTTTGTGCAGTATATTACTCCAGCAAAGACAAGGAAACTGAGTATGTAACGATTAGACTCAAAATTCATAATTTCTTACATATAACTACAACTCCAACTTGATGTACGATAAATATTACATATTCACCATAAATTAGTTTTACATTATTCAGTTTAACTGCTATGTAGAGCTACAGATAATGATACAATATGTACGTAATCTTAAGAGTTAGTTGTAAAGATTTCATTGTTCTTCTCAACGATATCATCAGCATAAACTTCAGATAGAAATAGTTGAATACTTGAGAAAAACAATGAAAGCTTCACAACCAAAACATCCAGCTCAGAAAACGAAACTCCACCATAATCATCCACCTGAACTACAGACAGACAGATACGACGCAGAACTTCGTATATAAGTCAGTCAGACGCAACGTAGCAGTTTGTACGTAAGTACATCAGTTTATGTTGCCATACCACATCAGTACAGAGATATAATTGTCAATTCAAATCCAATAGTGGTAGAGGTAGTAAAGGTATTAGAAGTCATCGGAGAGGTTAGGATTAGAAGATATTATACAAGAAGTATGGTTCAGTGAGAAAAGATTAGAAAGTCAAAACTAGAGGGGTTGAAGAACCCAGAAGATTAGGATTTGAAAGAACACAAAGAATGGATTCCACTGGACCAGTGCAAACGGTTTTGAGCCATGTCACTCAGGGTCTCTAACCATCGATTATTATCATCTCGAGTACCCCAACCAGCTAGTCGACAACTACTGACATGGCTAAGTCTACTTGTCAATGACTTCATAGATTTCTGCCATGTTTTGGTTTGGCCGCCCCTAACTTTCTTCCAACCTATTCCTACACTACAAAACAAAGCTCGTCGAGGCAGTCAGTGGTTACGCATACGCAACACATGTTCCAACCACCTCAACTGATGAAGTTTCACCACTTCATCTATCGATCTGCCATTCTTACCTAGCACCAGTTTCCTAATAACAGCGTTGCTCACTCGAGTGTCCCAGGATACACGAGCAATGTTTCGAAGACACCTATGATCGAAAACCAATAATCGACGAATATCTTCTACTCTCACTGGCCATGTTTCACAGCCATAAAGTAAGACGGAGCGAACTACTGCGCAGTACACTCGTCCTTTAGTTAGCAAACGGATATCTCGTCTACACCACAAGTGACGCAGGTTGGCAAAAGCTAATCGAGCCTTCTGTATCCGAGCTGAGATTTCGTCAGTCACCAGGCCATCGGCACTGATGAGACTCCCCAGATAAGTGAAGCGGTGTACACGCTCGACTACTTCACCAACTACCACTAGTTCAAGTGTCGCACATAAGTACATCAGTTCAGGTTGCCATACCACGTCAGTACAGAGACGTAACTGTCACCTGAATTACAAATCTTCTCCACCACCTCAGAATGAACAACTGCAACTGACAAGTTATTCCATTACCTGTAACAAGCGAAAAATAAAATATGATGGTCTGCTGAGAATATCATACATCATACAGTAGGTGATATAGTCTCCTGTAGGTAGTACCGAATACAATAACTAAATGTACTTCAAATAGACCGATTTATTACACTGAGGTAGATCTTAATCACGTCGAAACGTATAACTTCTAGTCTATAAAGAAACAAAACGTGATAACTATCGGGAATGTTATGAATTAAATAAACAGTCCATCATAAGTTATATTGATAATACACAAACAACCACATACCTATTTATAAACAAGATAAAAAGGGACCTTAAAAAGACACTGGTGAATTTAAAGACACTGTAGTCAAGAACACAGTGATGAGAGAATAGTAAGTGTTTGAATTACAATGTAACAAATGATGTTGAAAATACAACAGTTGTACTGAAAAATTAATAAGTGTAGAGAAAAATCACACAGATACAATGGATGAGAATGCAACAATTTGTATACTATACAGATAGAATAAATTAAGCATCAAAAATATAGGAAGCACTAGAATTTAGTTACAAAACAGGAAGAACCTGTCAATTAAACTAATCTCCGGACTTCAAAGAAACGCTTAAGATAGAAAACTTGACCAATACTCATGGCAATGATTAAGAATGCCTCGAAAGCAGCCCAAACGACCACACGAAAATTAGTATTTTTATTAACTACAAAAGAATATTGTTTGAATATAATGTATGAACGTACTTTCCCAGTGAATTTGAGTCCTTACAGAAACGTATTCCATCTCTAATTTAACACTAGATATTGAGTGTGATAACTCATTAACCATTGAAACAAGCCTCTTGTGCTCTTCTACGTGGAAATGTCTATTAAAATTTCAGTTTACCATCATCGCTTTCATTGACTTTCAATTGGTCTTCTTCTATTGCCATTTCAAAAAGTACAACTTTTGGTGTCATGGAACTCATTCGGTTTCCAAAACAGTACCTATAATCTCCAGCTTCCGTTGCAACAAATTCAGGCCTTCCGTTTGTTTTTCTGAGGGATTCAAAAACCTTAACGCCACTAGGATTGTAAACCTATAAGTGTAAATTTACTAAGCTAAGTAACGTTACATTGACATCTATATCAAGGAAACCACCCTCAGCGACTTCATAGTGAAGTGTGAGCTTGCTGCCACTAGCAACCCGATCAAAGAAGCACTCTTCAGAATTAGCATCCACTACTATATAATATCCATGGCAATAACTAAGATATGCAACGCAAAAGAGTGTGAAAATCCACATTTCAAAATGAGAACCGCGATACGGCTGACGAGGCTAGAGTCATCGACAAGAAATAACAATTTCAACGTACAATGCCACGATGGTGACAACAATTCACTTAAATCTTTGGATACACATACTGAGAAATTAGGCATCGAATTTTTAAGCTGGACTAAGATTTCAGTAAAATTTTATCATGATTTGGAGTCTCAAATTTTACTTTGCCTTTTGTTATCGATTAACTCAAGATTTGAAGATAACTGAGATTTTATTTCACGAATTCATATCTGGTACTTAACTTCACGGTTCCGCATTGAAATTTGCCTACAAAATACAGGATTATAGGAGTTGATGTTGAGGTTAAAGTAAATCAAAATCGATTACAAGCAATACAACATCCATTTGCATGAAAACATTAGTCTGAAGGATTGAGTTCAAGTACGGCCAATTAGGGAAATGATCTAAAGTCTGCTGTTGTACCGCGTGTATGAAGAGGAAATCGCCTCACCCAGACAAGGAGTTGCAGTGATGCTATACAAACAAGCACAAAAAATACATGTAGGGTAGGAATCTCATGGACACCGGATCGTCAAAGCATCCCTCAAAACAAAAAGAGAAAGGATTACAATGAAAATCATCCAATACTATGCTCCTACGAACAACCACAATGAAGACGTTAAACATTAATTCTATGAGAGGCTGCAGTCAATCGTCCAGAAATGTCCAACAAAGGATTTGACCATTCTGATGTGAGTTCTAAATGCCAAAATTGTAATGGACAACACTGAATATGAAGAAAATATAGGAAAACATGGACTGGAAGGAAGGAACGAAAATAGTGAGAGATCCTCAAACCTATGTATCCTCAACAACTTGTCTTCGTTGGAACAAATTCCCACACAAATGCATACACAAAGCTACAAGGATTTCACCGGAACACACTACTCACAACCACACCTGCATTATTGGAAAGTTCAGACGGACCAAGCAGGATGTGAGAATCAAGATAGGAGCTGACATAACCTCAGATCGTCACTTGCTGGTCGCCAAAATGAATGTGAACTTCAAGAAACACTGGTTAACGTGTAGTGCCTCCACATAAACTTCAGTTCGCTCATATTTAATTTGATTACGCCTTCCGATTGACTTATGTAACCAAGCTATTTGTATAGCAACAACCCATATGTACCATTGGTATTTTTTATTATCTGGTTTGTATGAGCTTGTACGACTGAGCGTTGTTTACGCCTACGCGCTTACTCATCCTTTTCTCTTTAATGTTAATCTCTTAATATCCCCATGAACTCACATGATTTGTATCGCTTGCTTTTGACCTAGACAATCATTCGTCGCTTTTATTCATGTGTGTGCATGCCTATTTCGCTTGTCATATGTCTATCTTATTTTTGTCTGACTATATATTCTTAGTCATGCTCTATTTCTTTGAGTTGGCTCTTAGCCTTCTCCAATGCGCTTCGCCTATTCGTTGACTTCCTTCGCTCATTCTTTCGCTGCTTTTCGACTTTGCTATGTGGTGTGTCCAAAATATAAATATATTCATACTTCGAGTTCGCCTTCTGAGTTATGAACCGTCTGGCGCTATCCGAACACGCAGATAAATGGACCCCACAAGCATTACAAAATTTTATTACTGCCTTCCTTCGGAATACTGGAAAATTCAACGAATTCAAGATACCTCTCACCAATAGGTTCCAGGCCTTGCACAATCTACCCGATGGAGAGGAAACAGCCATGCAAAACAACTGGAATGTGATCAAGGAGGCTATCACTTCAACATGTCCAGAGGTTTCGGGCCACGAGAAGTACCATTACAAGGAATGGATCTCTTTTGGTACTCTATATAAACTTCAAGAAGGCAAAAACCAATACCAGTCAAGCGAGAGTAGGAAAAGCCAAGTCACAAGCTGAATGCACAGAAGCAAACAAGCACGTAAAGAGTTACATCAGAGCCGACAAACGTAAATATGTGGAAGATACAGCCATGGTAGCAGATAAAACTACAAGACAGAGATATATGAAAAAACCATGAGACACAACGAAGAAGCTGGCTGCAAAAAGGTAGGTGTCCAGAACGACCACTCGTAACTAGGAAAGACAAAGCAATCACCGACAAAGAAGAACAGCGAAAAAGGTTGGCAGAGCACCTTGAATAACTCGCATCGACCAACCCTACTGGTCCTATCCAATATTGAAACCGCAACCGCAGACCTCCTAATCGATGCTGACCCATCAACAATTGAGGAGATCAGTACGGCTATCAGACAAATCAAAAGCAACAAAGAGGCTGGACTGGACAACATTCCAACAGAAGCACTGAAAGCAAACGTAACAATAACTGCAAAGATACTTCACATTTTTGGATGAACAACAAGTACCAAGTGTAAATGGATTTCTACGGTGGCAGTTCCAATGGGTTCCAATAAGTGCACTCCGAACTCGTATCTCCCAATTCAAGGTCCAGGAAAAGCAAAAATTCTAGGAGAAAACGGTCTTTATTAATTAAAAAATGGAAATACAAAGCAGTACCTGGAATTGATGCACCTTCCAGGTTAAAATTACTCCGAAGAGTATCCGAAACAAAGATAAATAAGTGACGTTAATGATAAATTCTCAAATTGGAATCAAATAAAATACCAAAAATGTCAACAGAAAAAGTCCGTCATGTCATAACAAAAATATGTAAACATGGAGGGATTTTCCAAAAAACAAAACATTCAAAAAGGATTCTACACCGGCCCGCAAAATCCCTCCATGCAAAAAAGCAAGCGTTAATGACACTTCAATTTAGGGTTCCCACTCATCCCCTAATCCACACCGGAAGAACGTGTAGGACTTACAGCAGTACGCCTACCCGCCATCCAACATGGATATGACCTATCAAGCTAACTAGGTACCTATACCTTCCCATCAGGCCCTTGATTCCCCTATCTATCGTAGCATGACCTAACGGTAGTATAAACCTTACCCAATTAACCCACACGAACATGTACAACACGTCGTAAAACTGGTCATATCCTATCCGGGAACTACATTCCATATCATGGGGATGAGTCGTCAATCCACCACCACTTGCTCCGATCAGCAGATACAATGAAGTCCGTGATGCTGACTTATCAACAGAAGTTCTTGACCCATAGATAATATGCAAGGGTGGGATCTCCAATTTTGACATTTCATCGTCTCCAGAAGACTTTAAGTAGCATAACATGGGATCAATATTTATCTCTCCATCTCCTGATACAGAGGAGGTTTGATCAGCATTCGTCATCGTCGGTAACTTATTTGTCACATCAGTGACATCCAGATTATTATCAACGTCATCATGATTCCGTTCTGTCAGACAAGTCGCGTCGATTCGGTCTGCACTAGCATCCGTAGAGTGGAACTCTTCCATTTTTGTATAACTCATATCGCTACATGAAAGAACAGCATTAGTGTCACAATCCAAAGCCGATAAACTCACTTGTTGTTCTTCATGTTCCGTTTCAGAGACACAAGACATATGCACATCAATAGCATCATTATCATGCAACACTGTAGATTGGTTGTTACCATCAGACGCTTCCTTCTCATCATCACTTGACTGACAGTCAACCGAAGTAGGAACACTTACAGTTACACAACCTTGTGTATCCTCAATCAACTTAACATTCGTGACAAGGTCCGATGACGTCGAAACACTAGAAGGCTCGTTCGATGAAGTTGATCGACTAGTCACTATAAGTGGACTGCTCACACTTTCTGTCTCCTTATTATCGCTGTCACTACTAAGATTCTGATGGCTACTATTTCCATTGCTAGTCATAGCATCCGAAAGAGAATGATGTTTAGGCTTCTTAATAATAGTAGCATCATGTTGTTTCCTAGGCTTCTTAGCCTTTACAGTACCGCCATCACTTATCCTAGAATCAACTCTAGGTCCCGTTATATAATTTACCCTAAATGAAGGGTTCCGAACATAGGCTTTATTCCGTCCAGACAATCCTGCCTGGGCCTTATTCATATTTACTGAACTCATTAACCTCTGTTTACTCGAATCCAAATAACCGTTCCAGGCTTTTCGAGCAGCTAAGAGGCTTTTATCATCACACACTTCGGATCCATCTTGATGCCTACACTTTTCACCTTTTTCTTTCTTTTCCATACTTAGAAAAGCCATCTTATCTGTTACACAAACCGGCTTCTTACTGGGATACGCATCAAGAGGTTTTACATCGTCACGGTCACATACTCGTCCTTCATCAGCGTATGCTTTCGTGATATAATTGACAACTCTCTTATATTCCGGGCGTGCGTTAGGTAGAAACGAAGAATCCTCATGTCTCGCACGCAGACCACTAGTAGCTTCCGTATTATGTCCTGTTTTAGCCCGATAAGCTAATCTCCCGAACCTACTACTAGCTATCTTAGCACGAGACATAATAAATTCCGTCAACTCATTGAAATTAGGCTCTCTCTCCTCTTCGTCCCACTTGATTCCCAGCTCTGCCCACTGGGCTTGCATTCGACGAGGTAAGAGCCTGACTATTCGTTCTAAAGTAACCATGGAATGAAGTTCCGTTGTACAATTTAGCTGTTCTAAGGTTAAAGCAGCATTCTGCATTTTAATAGCCAAATTCGTCAATTCTTCAGGATCATTAAAATCTGCGTTCCCGGTTCTAAATAAGTCCTCTAAGGTTTCCCGGGCTATTACATGCGACTGTCCAAAGAGCTGTTTTAAGATGGCCTTAGCTCTCTTATATCCTGCTTGTGGATCCATTATAATACAACCTTCAATCGCATTTTTTGCCCTTCCTTTACAATAGTGAATTAAATACAATAAACGCACTTGGTCATCTTTTACTCTTGGTTCTATAAACGTTTCGATTTGGCGCATAAATCTAAAGTAGTCGCGAGATTTTCCATCAAAAAATGAAAGTTCAACCTTAGGTAGTTCTAAGCCTACTATCGGTGTCCTAAGCATCTGATCCGTCTCTGGTACCTTAGAACTCTCACTTAATCCTGGTTCCTTAATGCCTGCCAAAGGTGACTTACAATAATAAGTATCAGACATAACATCAGTGTTAACATAGTAGGAA